GGGTGCACCAGTGTGCAGGCAGGAGGTGAGAGCAAGGGGATCACTGGGGACCCCATGTGGGCTGCAATACAAGGAAACTTCTCTTTATTCTAATTGAATCATCATGAGATAAAGCATTACAAAGCTTTCATGAGTCATACTGTGTTCCAACACCCATCCTTCCACCAGCATAATTTCCCAGAACCAGTGTCCCTAATTTCCCTCCTGCCCCTCCAAGCCATCCCCTACCCCACCCCCCAGCCTTTTATGGCAGGCAACTCTCCTCTCTTTTTCTCCCTCTCTCTCTCCCTCTTTCCCTTCTTTCCTCCCTCCTCCCTTTCTCCCTCCCTCTCCATCTGTCTCTCCCTTCTCTCTCTCTCTCTCCCTCCCTCCCTCCCGCCCTCTCTTCAAAACCTTCAAATAAAATGTTTTACTTCTTGCTCCAACCTGAGTCCGTGGTTCCCTGAGAAATTGGGTGGTGGGAATCAACTTCTGTGCCTGGCAGACCAAGCAAATTTCAGGTGTGGCCTGACGGCCACCTAGAGGGGCTGGTGGACTCAGGCTGTTAGAGCGGGGATCGTGATCTCCCTTTAACGACAAAGAGACTCCAGAGACTGCAAGCAGCAAGCAAGGTTTATTGTAAGACTGGCTAGCCAGGGTCAAGCCACCAACACTGACACGCAGGTCAGTTAGGTGAGGCAAGACCCCGAACTTTTTCAAAGGGGATCTTAGGCCTTCACTGGCCGTTACAGCAAAGCCCGCACATTTCATAGCCAATAGATTTGTAACAACATATACTTTCTTAACCAATCCATTTAAAAGTACATCACTCCTTAGCCTATAGATTCAAAGATCAGCATCTACGTACATAGGCATTGTGGCTAGTGGGCATCTGGTAACTCGGACATTTGGTTATCACCTGGCTTCCTTTGATTCTCAGCCCTGCATTCCTGTGGAGGTGGATAAGGGAAAAGTTCCTAACAGAGGTAATAGATAAGGAAGGGCCAACAAATGGTTCCCGAATTTACATCCCAACAGGGAAGAGTCAACAAATGGTTTCATAATTTGCATTCCAATAAGGAATGGTTTCACTCTAAAGCTCTGCTAGGGAGGGGGCAGAAAAGGGAGAGTTACTAATTTGTAGAGTTTTAACTCTGGAATCTCCCTCAGGGTCCCTAGGGACCTAACAAGGCCCGTGCTGAGCAGGGGCTCATCACAGACTTTACCAGTCCTAGTCTTCCAGGACCCGGGAGGTGGAGGTGGATGAGGAGGAAATGACCGTCTTTCTCCTCCCTGCTTCACATAAGTCGCCAGTGGAGCCCACCCATCCATCACTTATAGGTTCAAAAATAAAATCCCTGCTCATATGAGGTGAGACTAGCCAAAGTCCTGGCCTTTTGTTCCTGCTGGAGCTTCTCTCGGAGGGGGAGGGTCCAGGCTTCTCTGGGTCTGTTGCTGGTTCCAGGCCTTCCTTCCTGTTCTCTGCCAAATGGGCTTTTTGAAACTTCAGAGCTATTGATATTATTATGATGTCGGTGGGCCCCACGGGTGACTTATGTGAAGCGGGGAGGAGAAAGACGGTCACGTTCTCCCCAGCTACTCCTGCCACCCGAGACCCAGGGCTACTGGGTTCTTGTCTTGCCTTGCAGAAAGAAATTTCAGGAGTAGACAAGCAGTGAAGTAACAGATTTTATTTGGATGATTTTTAGGGTTGTGGAAGGGGAGAGAGTGAGAGAGTAACATACTCAAAAGAGAGCACGGGCTTCTCCAAGGGCAGAGAGAGCCCCTACGCACATCCTAGCATTAGACACAAAAGCATGAAAGTCCCCATCTCAAGAGGGGAGATGTGGGCAACACATGTGCTCAGCCCACATGTGCTCAGCCACATGGGCGCAAGCAACACATGAGCTCAGGCAGCGTATGCGTGCCCTTCCTTTGTTCAAGGTGGCCTTTATAGGGTTTCTCCAGCCTGCCCAGGTGAAGCTTCTTCCCAGGTAAAAGTCCGTTGCTAAGGAGGTTACCAGGGAGGTTGGGAGCTGCGATGGTCTTCTTTGGGCTGAATCGGATTAAAAGGGAGGTCCAAAAAGAGGAACTTCCTGGGGAGGAGGGTTATATCCTCAGGATCTGCAGATGGTCTTATCAGGTCTTTGTTTTCTGTATCCACAAGGTGGGTCAGTCCTAGAATTCTTCTTCCATGAAACTTTGTTAATTTTTCATTGCCAAGGGCCTTTCCCTCTCTACCTGCCTACAACAATTAGTTCCTAGGAAATTCATTGCCATTGCCTTGGGGTGAGGGATGGGGGGTGTCTTCCCTCCCTGCAGCCAGGTCAGGGAAGGGTGTGTTTGTTTTTTTGGGTCACGCTTGGCAATGCACAGGGGTTCCTCCTGGCCCTGGCTCTGCACTCAGGAATTACTCCTGGTGGTGCTCAGGGGACCATATGGGACGCTGGGAATTGAACCCGGAACCCAGGTTGGCCAAGTGCAAGGCAAACCCCCTACCTGCTGTGATATCGTTCCAGCCCCAGGGTGTGTTTGATTTAGGGGTTCAGAGCTTCCTGCTACTGAGTGAGGAATGGTTCTTACTGGGCCCTCGGGGAGCTATTGCATCACCCAGGGGTGCTGAGGGGCTCAGATCTGGAGGCAGTGCAGAGACAGGATGCAGCCCCCATCCTGAGAGAACCTGAGCCCCAGGAGATCCCTGACTGAAAATGGCAGGTGAGCAGGAATGAAACTCCTTATTGGGGGCTTCTCAGGCTTTGGGGATGCTTCTGTCTGGCAAAAGAGGAAGTAAAGCCCTGGCCCCATGGAAAGCTGCTCTCCCTGAGATCAGGTCCAGGAGCCTTGCTGCTCTACCGGAGGCCCTTGCCATACTTTTCCACCCTCTCCCAGGAGGCCCTATCAGTGAGAGACCTGGAAGCAGCCCCAGGGAGGCCGTAATTGATCTGGGAGGCTGAATTCTGGCTGGTGCTGTGGAGTCAGGGGGATGGTCCTTAAGGGATCTGGAGGGATGGGCAAATACGAGGTCTCCTGCAGGGATGGATTCAGATCCAGGAAGGCAGCACAGCCTCCCAGGTAGAGGGGAGGCGGGTGGCAGGACTCAGAGAGAGCAAACGTGGGGATGTGGGGGACGCGGGCAGAGTCCCAGAGTCTCTGGGCTCTTGGTGACAGCCTTCAGGTGGCACTGAGCAGCCTGGGCCAGAGGGGGTGGGGGCTCAGCCATTAGGGGCTCCACGCATGGGAGTGAGGGATGAGGGTGTTAGGACGCGGATCTTGATCTCCCCTTAACGACAAAGAGACTGGTTTTCTGTTTAAGGAGTCCAATAGATTTTCATGGATGAGAACAATTAACAAGTCCTAAATCGCTATGGACTTGACTTGGCTTTTGCAAAGCTACCGGAGCTGCTATTTAACAGCCACGTTTAAGAGTTCGTAATAGATTTACATTTTCTTTTTTGGTTTCTTAGCCATACCCAGTGGAGGGATCACTCATGTGGTGCCGAGGGACAGAACCGGGGGTTTCTGCATGCAGAGCTTGGGGTCCAGCACTTGGAGTCATCGCCTTGGTCCTATTCATATTATTTTCCCCAAGATTTATACTTTGTTCTGTAATGAGAGCTCTGAAAATAGATTAAAATGAGCCAATATAAAATGCTAAGAAGATCCACATGAGTTTTGTTTGTGAGTAACTTCTTTGTGAATGCCTCAGCTCAGGTGAAAAGTTGGCCCTTTGCCCAGGAGTTCAAATGGTTAAATCTCCAATCCCCAGAGAACCCCTCCTATGCTACCCCTTGGGTCTCTAGCAGCCCTGTGGTTTTAAACATTTTTTTTTCTTTTTTGGGTCACACCCGGCAATGCACAAGGGTTTCTCCTGGCTCTGCACTCAGGAATCACTCCTAGCGGTGCTCAGGGGACCATATGGGATGCTGGGAATCGAACCTGGGTCAGCTGTGTGCAGGGAAAATACTCTACCCCCTACCCACTGTGCTATCGCTTCAACCCCAATTTTTTTTTTTTAGTTTTTAATTTTTTATTAGGCTGGGTTCACTGGGTTCATTGCCTGGGGAGCACATGGGGACATGGATGCATCTGCTCATTTCCTGGCTGCTGTCCTGGGGTGTGCCGCAGAGTTCTGGATGGCTCTTAACCCCGGGCCTGGCTCTCATCACTCTGCATTCCTTTCTCAGGACGTGAACCCTCTTTGGATTTAGAGTCTGCTCCTGCCCCCCACTCTTCCTGCCCTGCCAGCTTCTCTGAGGACCTGCCACAAGGTGCCAGGCTGGAGAGACCCATGGGGGACTATCCAAGGGGACTTTCTCCTGTCTCCAGTTCTGCTTCTCTGCTGGCCAGCATCTGGAAGCTTCATGTCTTTCCAGGGCTTCACTTGCTGTTTCTGCAGAGGCCTTTCTTTTTCTTTCTTTCTTTCTTTTTTTTTTTTAATTAGTGAATCACTGTGAGGTACAGTTGCAAACTTACAAAGTTTTTTGCTTGCGTTTCAATTATACAATGACGGAGTACCCATCCCTCCCACCACCCCCACCCCATCTCCCCCACTCCACCTGCCTCTGGCAGGGCATTCCCTTTTGCTCTCTCTCTCTCTCTCTCTCTCTCTCTCTCTCTCTCTCTCTCTCTCTCTCCTTTTGGGTGTTGTGGTTTGCAATAGAGGTATTAAGAGGACATCATGTTTGGTCTATCGTCTACTTTCAGCCTGCATCTCCCATCCCGAGTGGGTTCTCCTAGCACTCTTTACTTGGTGATCCCTTCTCTATCTGAGCTGTGCAAAGGCCTTTCTTGAACCACACCCAAAGAGGCTTAGTGGTCTGAAAAATAGGTAGAATCCAGAGGAAACTGGGTATCTTCCAGAAAATGCAGAGTTCATCCTTCCCCTAACTCTGGAGAGAGCACAGAGTGAGTGAGAGCTTTGAGGGCCCTGGGGCAGACACTTGCTCTGGTAGGTGACTTGGGAAGACGTGGCACCTGCTTTTCTGTAAGCCAGTAGAGGTGGCATCCACTTACTCATCAGGATGAGCTGTGCCCCCCTGGGGTACTTGGAGTGGAGGCCATGCTGAGACGGAAGCTCTCAGCCACAGTCACGGAGCTAGATTTTCTCCTCTGGAATCTTGTAGTGGCAAGGGAGAAGCCTTCTGTTCTTCACCCCACTGCTGGTCAACTACGTGTTCATTGCAGGTGGGAATCTGACTGCCTCTGCTATGTGGACCACTGTCTACACAAGCCCATGTAAAACTTCACCAGCATCTTTTTCTTCCTGGAGATCTGACACACCATGGCCACCATCGACCACCATCCCCAAGATGCTCACACGCCTGGTCAGGGAGCAGAGAGCCTCTCCTTTCTCGGCTTCTCCCCAGGTGAAATGGACTTCTTCCACTCATTGGGAGAACTCAGAGGGGGTCTTGCTGACTACGATGGCCACGGACAAGTACATGACCTTTCTTGGCACTACCCAGCCATCACGACCCGACGACTCTGGCCCATCTCTCTGCCAGATCCTGTGTCTTAGTGCTGCTCCCTGAGTTACGTGGCTCTCCATGCTGCCCTTCTGTGACCTCTGCCAGATCCACCAGCTATTCTGTGACTTTGAGCCTTTGACCTGCACAGACATGTCCACGATGCTGGTGGAAGACATCATCCACGCCATCGCCATCAACTTCTCGGTGCTGGTCATAGCCATTGGCTACATCAGGGTCGTGGCTGTGATCCAGAGCATCCCCTCCACCGACAGCTGCCAGAAGGATCTCCATCCTGTTCTGTGGCAGTGACTCACGCATCGACCTGTGCTCCTGTGCTTCTCTGCCACAGTGCTGGCTTTCTTCTTCTTCTTCTTCTTCTTCTTCTTCTTCTTCTTCTTCTTCTTCTTCTTCTTCTTCTTCTTCTTCTTCTTCTTCTTCTTCTTTTTCTTCTTTTCCTTCTCCTTCTCCTTCTCCTCCTCCTCCTCCTTCTCCTCCTTCTCCTTCTCCTTCTCCTTCTCCTTCTCCTTCTCCTTCTCCTTCTCCTCCTCCTCCTCCTTCTCCTCCTTCTCCTTCTCCTTCTCCTTCTCCTTCTCCTTCTCCTCCTTCTCCTCCTTCTCCTTCTCCTTCTCCTTCTCCTTCTCCTCCTCCTCCTCCTCCTCATTCTCCTTCTCTTCCTCCCCCCCCCGTGGGATAGTTATAGATTTACCCACTTTTGTGCTTGCATTTCAGTCATACAGTGGTCAGGTATCCATCCCTTCACCAGTGCCCGTTTTACACCAGCATCCCTCCCACCACCCCCACCCTGTCCCCTCCACCCCATCCCCACCTTAGTGGCAGGGCATTCCCTTTTACTCTCTTTCTCCTTTTGGGTGTTGTGGTTTGCAATAGAGGTGTTAAGTGGCCATCGTGTTTGATCTATCGGCTACTTTAAGCCTGCATCTCCCATCCCAAGCGGGCCTTCCTAGCACCCTTTACTTGGTGGTCCCTTCTCTATCTGAGCTGCCTTTTACCCCAGCATACGAAGCTGGCTTCTAAGCTGTGGAGTAATCCTCCTGGTCATTATCTCTACTCTTCTTGGGTGTTAGTCTCCTATTATGCTACTTTATATTCCACAAATGAGTGCAATCTTTCTATGTCTGTCCCTCTCTTTCTGACACATTTCACTTAGCATGATACTCTCCATGTTGATCCACCTATATGCAAATTTCATGACTTCATCTTTTCTAACAGCTGCATAGTATTCCGTTGTGGCTGGCTCCCTTCTTCAACCCCATCATTTGCGACTTGAGGAAAAAGGATGTAAAGACTGCGATGAAGAGGCTCCTGTGCTGTCGGAAGGTGCTGAACACATCTGCAGGTCAGTGATTGCGCAGGTCCCTGCATCCCAACAGGAACAGAGAAGCACTTGGTGCTTCCAGTCACACAGAGTTTCTTCTGCTTCCTTTCCCCACGGGCCTGAGCATGGCCTTTGCACACACCTCCTTAGCATATCAGTCAGCACCAGGGAGACTTGCACAGACCAATAAATGAGACAAAGGAAACATGAAGTCTAAGCTTTTAACACACATTTAATGAGCATTGGTTATAACTGTGTAACTATTTTTCATTTTATTTCATTTCATCATCCTCTTATTCGTCGATTGCCTCGAGCAGGCCCCAGTAACGTCTCTTTCATCCTAGCCCTGAGATTATATTCACGGCTCTTTAGGAGAATGAGACCCATCATTGTTACTGGTATTTGGCATATTTGGTACGCCACGGGGAGTTTGCCAGACTCTGCCCTGTGGGCAGGCTACATTCAATAGCCTGCAAGTTTGTCCAAAGTAGGAATGAGATAATAAGATGGCATAAAAAAAAGTTCTAATAAGATGTCGCGCGGCCGCAAATGCCGCAAATGCCGCAAACAAACAAAAAAAGAAAATAAAGCGATGGACATAATCGGATGGAAAGAAGGAAGAGGAGGAAAAAAAAAGCAATGGGCATATCGCGTTAACTAAGCCCTGGGTGCCTTGCATTGTAACTATTATTACTAAAATCAAAGTTTCCACAGATTAGAAAACACAGTGCTGGGGCTGGAGCGATAGCATAGCGGGTAGACCATGTTTGCCTTGCATGTGGTCGACCTAGGTTCAATTCCCAGCATCCCATAAGGTCCCCCGAGGACTTCCAGGAGTGATTACTGAGTGCATGAGTTAGGAGTAACCCTTGAGCATCACCGGGTGTGACCCAGAAAGAAAAAGAAAAAGAAAAAGACAATATGGTGGTTCAGAATATATAGGGTCTGGGCCAGGGAGATGGCTCCAAGGGCTGGGGCCAGGCTCTATGTGTGAAAGTCATGGGTGTGACCCTCAGCATGGGATAGTTCCCAGACTACTGCCAGAAGCAACACCTGAGCACAGACAGCCCTGGGAGAAACTTCTGAGTAGCAATAGCAGAGGTGAAAAAACCCAAAGACAAAACAAAAGAAAAACTGAAAAAGAATACAGGATTCGTGGGCAAGGAGGTTCCCCTTCCAATGGAAATTGACACTGTCACTGTCCTCCCGTTGTTTATCAATTTGCTCTAGCGGGCCCAGTAACAACTCCGTTTTGAGACTTATTGTTACTATGTTTGGCATATTAAATACGTCACGGATAGCTTGCCAGGCTTTGCTGTGTGGGCGAGATACTCTCCGTAGCTTGCAGAGCTCTCTGAGAGGGGCAGAGGAATCGGACCCGGCCCGGCCGGGCTGGCTGCGTACAAGGCAAACGCCCTACCACTGTGCTATCATTGGAAACACACACTGCTTTTGTGAACTTAAAAAGTGTAAGGGACAGAGTGGTAGTACTGTGGGTAGGGCACTTGCCTTGCATGTGGCCAACCTGGGTTCAATTCGTGGAACCCCACACGGACCCCTGAGCACAGCCAGGAGTAATCCTTGAGCACAGATCCAGGAGTAAACCCTGAGTGCCACCGGGTGTGAACTGCCTCCCAAAAAATAATAACAATAATTTATGGGGCTAGAGAGTTAGTACAGTATGGAGGGCGTTTGTCTTGAATGAGACCGAGCTGGGTTCAATCTCTAGCATCCCATTGGGTCCCCTAAGCACTGCTAGCATATCTCTGTTCTCAAGTCCATCTCAAGTCAAGCAGGTGCAAAGTCATGTTTTAAAATCAGAATCCTGATGCTGGTAGGGTGTTGGGTGACTTGTGTCCCAGAGACGGGAAACTCAGGCTTTGAGGGCTTATTTATTTATTTATTTATTTGCTTTTTGGGTCATACCCGGCATTTCACAGGAGTTACTCCTGGTTCATGCACTCAGGAATTACTCCTGGCAGTGCTCAGGGGACCATATGGGATGCTGGGAACTGAAGCCGGGTCGGCTGCGTGTGAGGCAAACACCCTACTGCTGTGCTATTGCTCCAGTCCCAGGCTTTGAGGACTTTGGGGACAGGGCAACGGCCACCAGCTTACCTTTTTCTCAGGAGGGCAACGCTCTGCTGAGGACTGGGGCATTCAGCCCAGGAGGGGCACCACAGGCTCTGCCTCCAGATCTCCCCGATGGAAAGGGAGTTGGCTCAGGTGAATTTGACGAACAGCACAGCGGGTTTCCTAAATAGGGAAGGTAAAGGAATATTTTTTTTTTGGCTTTTTGGGTCACACCCAGAGATGCACAGGGACTAGTCCTGGCTTTGTACTCAGGAATCACTCCTGGCGGTGCTCAGGGGACCCTATGGGATGCCGGGAATTGAACCTGGGTTGGCCGCGTGCAAGGCAAACGCCCTACCCGCTGTGCTATTGCTCCAGCCCCAGGTAAAGGAATTTTTGATCTTTGATCCCATCACTCATGGAAAGCACTTAGAGGCTCAGAGACAAAAGGTTGAATCCAGGGAACAAGGAGCTATTCTGTGTGTGGGATTTGTGGAATTGAGCTCTGCACTCAGTGGGAGTCAGGTCTTGGGCCAGAACAAAAGTGAGGAACTGGGCTGGAGTGATAGCACAGTGGGTAGGGCATTTGCCTTGTATGTGGCCGACCTGGGTTTGATTCCCAGCATCCCATAGGGTCCCCTGAGCACTACCAGGAGTAATTCATGAGTGCAGAGCCAGGAGTTACCCCTGTGCATCACCAGGTGTGACCCAAAAAGAAAAAAAAAGAAAAAAAAAGAAAGTGAGGAACTTTGACATCAAACAGTTGTGTTGATTGGCAAGTTTGCACAGGCAAACTAAACAGAACTTTGTTTAAAGGGGTTGTACTGCCCAGGGACCCCCTCAGTCAGGTCAAGTGCAGGAAGCCTTCCCAGTCACTGGTCTTGATTCCCGAGATCACTTGCCAGGAACTCGATCCAGACAACAACTCATCTCAGGCTTTTTCTCAGAACCTAAGGTGATGCACTGGGCCCAGGGAAGGTCATTCAAAGGGTCAGGCTGGTACAGTTTTATTTCTGGGGAAATGAGCTTCTGCTCCTAGTTCATGAGATGGTGGCTCTGGAAAAACGGCCCAGGGCCAGTGAGAACCTGATTATTCTCCCTCTCGGCAATTGCTTATTGATCCAGGAGGCACAGAGATACCTCATTCATGAATGCTCACCCACTCAGCCATTCCGGTGCTGAATCTGAAAAGGGGTGGAAGGCATCGTCACCAGGATACTTCTGCTTGTGTGTGTGAACAGTATGTGTGAATTTCAACTATTGGGAAGGAGCTTCTTATGCAGGTTGTGAGTCCCAGGCCTAACCAGATGAAATATTAAAGTTGTCTTACTAGAGAGCACTGGAAAAGGAGCAAAGGACCCTAAGGTGTACCATGAAAAGCTGACCTTTCAGTTATATCTCTGAGGAACTGTTCAGACATCTCTGACTTGGCTTGGGTAATTTCATAGCGAAGGTGTTGCTATGCTTACCAGGATGGCGATTTCTCTGTGATGCACACTCTAGTCTGGATATGCCTTGGTGATCCCCACTACTATAGTGAAAAGTGACGCCTTGCCTGTGGAATGTCAGTGCAGCTAGCTGATGTCATAGCTTTGGTCAGAGCCCTAGAGTCAAGTCAAGGGAGGGCAGATCAATCCATGTAAACATAGACGTCAGGTATGCTTTCTTGGATACTGCATGTACATGCAGCCATTTGGAAGGAAAGGGGATTTGTGACTGCCAAGGACAGTCCCATTAAGTACGACAGTCTGGTAAGGAAATTGTGAGTTCACAAAGTGAAAAACAGGCCTCCCCAACAGACACAGAGAGATGGTGAGCAGGGGGGCAGAGGGACCATAGCCTGATGGTGAAAATGGTCCGTTTAACTCAGAGCTGCTTGCATACTTACAGAACACCTGAG